AAAATTATTTTGTAAACAAGTCTTTTAAATTATCATTATTTTGACGGGCCTTTTGGTTGTGAAGAAATTTCAACTTTTTGCTTTGGAACTTGTTTTTGAATGGAAAATTTTTGTTAAATAAATTATTCTGAAAAAAGTTTGTTTTTCTTGTGATCTAAATAATTTTTAGTACAAGAATCAAATTAATCTCCAAAATCCAACGCTATTTTTAAATTAGAACAAAGTCAGTTTGTATGTTTTGTCTTTTAAATCCAGTTTTATAACGAAAAAATAAGGTTAACATTGTGAAAAAAATTTGGTTCATTAAAAAAAATTGATACAAAAATTTGTTTTGGTTTTTTAAATAGTAAATATTGGCAAAATGATTTTCGATCAAGGTATCATTTTCTGAGTAAATCTTACATTTAAGAAAACCCAAAGACATTACCAATTAAAATTTTCAAAGGTAAATATTATTTCATTGCATTTTGATCCTTTCAAAAGTCTTTGGAAGGCTAAAAATATAAAAATTTAATTTTAATTGCGAACTTTACTAAAAATGTTAATTTTTTTTTATTAGATTACATTCCAAGAATAAGTTAGTGATTGTTTGGGAAGATAAAAATGAATAATAATATGATATTAAGATTTGTTCTATGGAAATTTAAAGTATATAAATTGTTTTTAAAATCTTAAAATTTCCTTATTTGGAAGTTTTGATTGTAAAACATTAGTGAAAATAAATTTCTTTTTTCAAAAAAATATCTTTTTCGGTAGAGTATTTGATTCAATTTTGTTTAGAATGATATTTAAGATTGATTTTGATAAATTTATGTTATCTAACAACATAATTATGTTATTGAATTAATATCTTTTAATATTTCCTCATAAATATTTATCTTATTTTTAGTAAAGTTTACTATTAAAATACAATTGTTGTATTTTTGGCTTTCCAAAGACTTTTGAAAGGATCAAAATTCAATGAAATAATATTGTTTTTTGAAAATTATATTTGATAATGACTTTGGTTTTTCTTTAATGTAAGTTTTGTTCATAAAATTTTACTCTGAACAAAAATCATTTTGCCAATATTTACTATTTAAAAAACAAAAACAAATTTTTGTATCAATTTTTTTTAATAAACAAAATTTTTTTCACAGTGGTTAAATATTAAAATAAATTCAAAATTGTTTGTTCAATTAGAATTATTCAGAATTATATCAGTTATTAAAGTTTATATATATATATATATATATTATATTACTGAGTGTTGTAATACACTTTTGTAAGACAAAAAAAAAAAAAAAAAATTCATTGATTATTTTTTAAAGAAAAATCAAAATACAGCAATTTTTTTTTTTTTTGATTTTTCAAAGAAAAATATTTGTTAATCAACAAAATTTTGGAAATTTTTGTAAAAATTAAGATAAATTTTAAATTGATTTAGTTTGTTCTTTATAAACTTTCTCTTCATATAATTTTGAAGGGTATTTATCTTTTTATTTTTAACATGATATATTTGAATCTTTAGTATATAAATAAATAATAGCTTTTGTATTTTCAAATTGTTTCAAGAAAAAGTTCAAATTTTGGTGGTCCAAAAGTATTATCCAAAAACAAAAATTTGTATAAAAACTAAAATGTTAAATAATCAAAAAGTTATATTAACTTAAAATTCTATTAAGTGGATAATTCAGGGTATAAATATAAATACAATTGTTACTTAAGGAATTAATGTCACCATATATTCATCTTAATTTACAGTATTTCATAATTGTATATAAAATATATGAGTACTATGATAACAAGGCTCTTTAAAATCTATTGTTTATATTAATACAAAATAAATTATTATATTTTATACTAATTTTATTAATTCAAAAATTTTTATTTTGGAATTTTTTTTAAAAAGTCGTTTAACAAATTTAAAAAACGTATCTACTGTCTAAAGGGTTTTCTGAATTTGTAAGATGTTATTAAAATACTAGGTTTTACTAAATTCGTTGCAAATTCTGGAAAACTCATGGTTAGCTTTTCAATTAATTTTGGAAATAAAAAAAAATTGTAGTACTCTTTTTTTTATTTCTCAAATTAAAAAATAGTGCTAATGACTTTTCTTGAGTTTTCTGTTTATTTGTGAAATCAATAGATTTTTTCAATAAACCGAAAACCCCAGGATAATATAGACTCTTGAAGGTACTCTACAATAAATCACCAGTATTCAATAGGGTATTGATTGGGTAGAAAGATTATCAATTAAAGATAAAAAGTCCACAGCCTTTGATTAACTATTTGCAATATGCTGTGTTGGTTTTTTTGCTTTAAAAAAAAAAAGAATTGAGTAAAAACTTTGTTTTTCATCAGTTGTTTTTAATTAAATAAAACCTAGACTCTGGGCCTAAGAGTGGGCCAATATTTAGACTTTTTTTAGACTCTTTTACTGTTGTCAATATAATATGTGCTGATGTGTTTAATCTGTGTTTCAAAAAAAAAGTATGTTTTTTTTTTTTTTTCCTTATAGATGGACTATAAATTAATCGACCAAATTTTCCAACAATAAAGCAATAATGAAAAATTTTAATGGTTTCTTAAAGTTCTATTATTTTAAAAAATATTCGAAAATTGAAAAATCAAATTAGAAACTTTTTCTCATAAAAATAGAGTGAGTTTTTGTTACAAATCTGTATCATCAAAAAATTATAAAAAAATTTAAAAAAATTGAGAATATTTTGAAAAATTTTCAACAAATTGTATTCCTAATTTAAATATTTACTGAAAATATTAAGGATTTCACTGCAAAAATTAATTTGAACTAAGGTATATTATTGGGTAGAGAATGGGATTTTCAATTAAAACAGGATGAAAATAAAAGCAAGGATTATATTTTTAAATATGGATTTTTGTCCTTGGTCATGTAAACTATTTTTCAGTCAAAGGTGCCCTGTTGTAATGGGTATAATACATGTGTTTAAAGGGTTTACATGGATATTAGAAGAAAAATTTTATTTTGGAAATTCTCAAACCGGAAATCATTTTTAATCATTTTGTTTTTTTTTTTTAAACATCATTTAGTTGCAAATTTTTTTTCTATTACAAGATAAATAGTCATTTGGTAAAAACGTGTTATTCTAAGGTTATTAAAACCTTGTAAAGATGATTTTTGAGAAATGATATTGATTTCTATTACAATTCAATTCGATCTTTGATCTTGATATTTGTTTAATAAATGTGAAAAATTTTCACTTCATTTTCATTTCCTTATTCAAATAGAGACCTCAAATACGAACAAAATTCGTTTGAGAACTTGATTTCTAAAAGAAAGGTATGAAAAATGAAGTGAAAAATGTTTCTTATTTATTATTCAAATACCAGTAGAAGTTCAAAAGGAACATTGTTGTTTTTCTCAATAGGACCCTAAGAATTTGAGTTTATCAATTTTCAAGAATATTTATTGATTAATTAGTTATCTTTCAGACATATATCAACAATTCTTTGATGTATATTATTCTGTTTATTTCTTATTTGTTATTCAAGGGTCAATTATATAAAATAATTGATATTTGAAAAAAAAGTTGGGACATTTGATTGAAACAGTTTTTATTATTTTCATCACTTTTAGTATTTTTTATTTACAGTCAGTTTCACTTTTAAGGCACAAACTTTCAACGAAATTTAAGGCACAATAAAAATCTTATATATAGGCACAAAATTCAAATTCTAGTAAAAATAAATTGTCAAAAAAAAAATTCCAAATTTTGTGCCTTAATATAAGATTTTTATTGTACCTTATATTTCGTTGAAAGTTGGTGCCTTAAAAGTGAAACTGACTGTATAATTTTTTAAAAAAAGTTAAAAAATTCAATAATATTGAAATTGTTTTTGAAAATTCAAACTTTTTGATCAAGAATGATCAGAAAAGATTAGGATTTCAGGAAATGAAAGTTTTTAAAAGTTTGTAATTTATTAAAAGGTTAAAAAAGTGGTTATTTTTTTATATGATAATTTGATCGTGAGCTATTTCTGGTTGGTATATTTGAAATGATTGATTTGTTTGTTGTAGCTTGATTTTTGAAATGAAATATGGTTAATTTGAAGAAAATTCGCTTTAATATATTAGTCTTAAAATTCCTGTGATGGGTGTTTTTTTTGTATTTAAATATTTGAAAACAAAGTTAAGGGATTAACATCACCATGGATTTCTCTATAATTAAAGTACCTTGAAATTGGATGTAAATGATATTAGTGCGCCATGGATCAAATAGCTTTAAAAAATTTATTTTAAATCCTTATTGCACAATAAATACTTACATTTTTTACTAATGATCACTATTAAAATTTTTCATTTTGGAATTTTTTTTTTAAAGGCTTTTCCAAATCTAAAAATAGAAATTTATAATAATAGTATTTAAATATTTAATAATTCAGATTTAGAACTTCCAAAAGTAACAATTTTTTGAATTTTGTATTTTCCAAGATTAACTCAATAATCGTCAACATAAAAAACCAAAGAATGATTAGATTTGTTTACTTTTTTTAAATATTTTGTACCTTTATCATCAATATATTTCAATGATTTGAGAAATATTTTTGGTCAAAAGAATCTTTTGGGTAGACTATTTAATTTTTTTAACAACTAATCCACATTTCAAAGTAAATTTTTGAAAAATATTTTGCAACTTTGAAGTATGAATATTAGAAATTGAACCTTTAAATTTGTGGCAAAATGCAGAATTTTTCCGAAATTGTTCAGTTTTTTACTAATACAATAGATCATTTTTATTTGATGAGATCAACAAATATTACTACTTTAAGTAATCGATATTTTAGAGACATTTGAACCATGTAGCACAAATCTGGTAAGTCCCGATATTACTTACTTTGATCTTAGGCTTCTCATTGGTAGACTCAAATCCCTTAAAGAGAAAAATCTAATAAAATCAAAAAAAATTTCTTCAAAGATATCTCATGTTTTATTATATGCAAAATTTCATCTTTAAATTAAAATGAGCACTTTTATGTCTGCATCTTTAGTTCAGGGGTAGAATGTTTCACTAGTAATGAAAAGGTCATAAGTTCGAATCTTATAAGATGCAATTTTTTTTTCTTTTTACCTCTTGAATCTTAATGAATGTTTGTTTTTTTGTTTTTCGTGTTTAAAAATTTTTATACAAAGTACAACATGTTATTTGATATCCATTTTTTTTCAAAGAAAAAGTACAATCGAAGAAATTTTGTTCACTTTTTAAAAAAAATATTCTCATAATTTTCCAACATTTTTATTTGGATTTCAGGAAACAAAGTCTCAAACAAATAATCTAACACGTGAACAAAAGTTGTACAAAAACTTAAAACTACAAGATCTTTGATTAAATAAATTGATTTGACAAACAATCTTATTGAAACAAAGGAAAAAATTTTCTAGAAATATCAATAGAAAATGATAAATGAATCCAAGTTGAAGACTTAAAAGTGCCTAGACCATATTCTTATGAACAGACCTGAGACTGGAATCAACTTGTAATTGATACAAAAACAAATTGAATAAAATCTCAAAGTAGCTAGAAACAAATAAGCATACTCAACTCAAATCAAAGAATAGTGTTTTGTTTTGTAAAAATCCAAAAACCATTTTCAGAAATTGTAATTAAAATATGGTTTATAAAAATGGTTAACATTTTAAAAAACAATCATACAAATTAACAATTTGAGGTTTTCTCTCGACTTAGTATTTTTGAACTTTACTCCAATCTAATTTTTCGACTTTAATCTTTTTCAAATAGCATAACAAAATTACATTGAAAAAAATTGTACCTAACGAAAATAAATACTTGTATTTAATCTTTTGAAAATTAAACCTACTCCTCATATACACCGATTTCAAAAATCTTTTATTAGTGTCCGAATTGATTTGAGTTCTTGTGTTAAACAAACTTTTACAAAAATATTGAGAGGTTTGTTCGAGAGAAGAAAAATTTGGCTTTTAGTGATCTCTTGTTTATTTCAAAATAAAAAGGATACGGGTGAAAGAAAACACTGTGTAAAAATGATGATGTAGATGTTAGTTTTAAACATAAATTCTTTTATCTATTAATCTCTTTAAAATACAAAAAGATCGCTTTAATTCTTATCTTGGTATCGGAGTCTTTGATACATTTCAGCTATTTAGTAAGAATATGTTATAAAATGGTCTCTTAGAGATCAGTAATTAATCTCTTAATCCCAAAATTAAAAAGAAAATAATGAATAATCTTTCCAAAAATAGTTAAACTTTGTTTCACAAATATAATTAGACAAGTTTGACAAACAAAAATAAATCACTTTCAACAAAATTCAAGTGTAATTTTTTTCATTTTTTACTTTTATTTAGTTTAAACTTTTTTTCTCTTTTATCATGTCTGAAAGTAAAAAAAACTTTTTTTTCTTATTTATTTTGTTTTTGTTTTTTTTTTCTTTCTTCTTCATTTGGTTATAATAACAATTTCCTGTAAAAACACAATCCCAACACCTACAATATAGATCAAGTTGAAGTATCTTCAGAAATTTCTGAAGACGAAGTCCTCTCAGAAGAAACCTTATCACAATCATCTGATGAAGAAACCCAAGAAAAACCAAAAGAAACATTGGAAGAACAATCGGAAAAACAACCCGAAGAACAAAAAAAATGTGAGTGTCCTCATAGCTGGAGTAACCTAAAAAAAAAAATGAAAGAAATTGATTGGCAAGATGTAATAACTTTTTTTTTAATTTCTTTTTATTATTTTTTTTTTTTTGTTTTTTTAATTTTTTTTAGATTTTTTCTCATTAATTTTCTTACTATTTTTCCAATTTTGAGTTACATCACTAAAATTGTTTTTTCAATTCTTGTTATCTGTTTCGATTTTTGGAAATAAAATTTCTTTTCTTGGTAAAAATAATAAGTAAAACAAAAAAAGGAAATTTTAAGATCTTGAAAAGAAAAAACTCATTACTATCAAAAGTATTTTTAACAAAAAAAACCCACTCTTTAAGAACCTTTTCTTTTAGAATTACTATTTGTTGTAAAATAAATGGAACAAAATTTTCATCATACTTTCCAAAAAAAGGTATTTTAAAATCAAGCAAAAATTTCATTTTTTTAATTCCGTAAATCAATTTAAATTATTAATTTTTCCTTTTAGAACTGGAGACTTTGATGGTTTGTTTTATTTCTTGGCATGTGATTTTTTTGGAAAGCTGAATCAAAATATCGATCTTATTATTTTACAATTAACAGTAATCAAATTTGTTTGAATATGTCAAAAAATCAACAAACCAAAACTTTTTTTTGGATTTTACAGTAATTTTAAAAAATTGAGTTCTCGAAAATCTTTTAAAAAATTTTCTTTCAAAGTGTTTAAAAGAGTTAAGCAAACAGTTTGAGTAACACTTTATAGAACTTTTCACCATCACGTTTTGAAGAAAACACTTTTCGTTATTTTCAAAAAGTAAAATCAAAATTTTTTTGTAAAGTATCCAGAAAAAGCTCTGAACAAACTGGAATGGAACAGTTTGATGATGGATTTCTAAAAATCTTTTCGTTTTCAATTTTCAAAAAAGACTTTATTCTCATTTACCCAAACTGTAATTAAATTTATCCCAAGGAATAGGTGTGTAGCCGTTTTTAAAAAACAATGAGGACTTTTATTAAACTTTTTTCAAATTTTCCATTTAAGGGACTAGTTTCTACTATTTTTTTTTTTGGCCAATTTCTAAATAAGGGTTCCTTATCAAAAAAATGTGTTTAATATTGAAAATAAACAGGGTATTATAAATATAAGTAATTGGCAAAAAAATTTCTCAATCTCTATTAAATTTAGGTAAAAAAATTTAAAAGAGATAAGTCCCTTAAGAAAAGTGAAAACTTTTTTTAATCGATAAAACTTTTTTCAAATTTTCTATTTTCAAAAAGTGATTACTTTTTTTTTTAGATTGTCCGAATTAAAACTTTTTTCAAAAAATCCAAGTTTTATTAAAATGAGAACTCAAAAATTTTCAAAAGAGTGCTTTTCTTAAAAAACTAACCACTACCTCATATTCAAAGGTTGATCTCCTCACTTTTTTAAAGCTTGATTGTTTGAAAAAAGTTTTAATTTGGTCAATCTAAAAAAAAGTACCCACTTTTTTTTTTTTTATTTTATTGTTTAAGGGAGGAGTTTTTAGTTCCTCTTGTTTGCCGTTAGGTTTTTTTTAATTTGAGAAATAAAAAGAAAATTTATGAAATTTTCGGTTTATTTGTCAAATTAAAAAAAACCTAGGCACTCACCGAATTCCTAAATTGTGATTTAGAAATTTTTTTAAAGATTTCCATATACTTTTATTTTCCACTAGGGCTAATAAAGTTATGGAATCTTTTCTGTTAATAATATTAAAAATATTATTGTTTTTTAATATATTAGATATATTGATTTTTTTTAATTCAGATATCCAGATTTTACGATTATTTTCATAGGCTGGGCAGTTCCAGAAAAAGTACCCACTTTATTAAAATATCTGTAACAAAAAATTTATTTACCTCATTATTTTAGGGAAATTATTTTTGAATAGTTTTAGTGAGAATAAAATTTGTGTTTATACGACTAAATTCATAAAGTCTTCAATTCGTTTTAAAAACAGTGTGAACAATTTTTATTTAATAGAGTCCCAAATAAAATAGATATGTTTCCAATATTGTGAAAATTCCCGGCTTTTAACAAAGCGAGGACAGGGTGGCTAAAAGACTTTTCCAAACTTGAATACCTAAAATTTCAAAAATTGGAAATTTAAGAAAAAAATAAAGAACTCAAAAAGAAAATCAATGAAGAATAATTAAAATTATAAAAGAGAAAAATACGTACGAGATAATCACTAACACCAATTATAAATATCTCTGAAAATCCACAACTAAGTTTCTAAAAAAAACTGCTTTAATTTAAGGCAAATAGGCTTCGATTAAATTATAGCTACAAAAAATAAATAAAAATAGTTATATCTTGAAGTTTGTTCTCAATTTAAAGATATCTTTGAAAACTTTTTTGTCACACTTTTTTCAATTGGCTATTAAATAGAAAACCTTCCTTTTTTCTAAAAAAAGAAAAAAAATTAAATAAGTTAGGAAAAAAAGTGTGTCAAAAAACTTTTAAAAAGCGTTCATAACATTGCTATGTTTCAACTTTTACAATATTTTTGAGATACTTTTGAAAAAAATTTTTTTGGATTTTAAAATCAATAGAGAATAAAGAATAAACAATCAAGAATCAAGAATAAATAAAAAGAATAAAGATCAAAAAACAAAAAAAAACAATAAATAATCAAGAATCAAGAATCAAGAAACAAGAAACAAGAATAAAGAATAAAGAACAAAAAAAAAAAAAAAAAAAAAAAAACATATTAAAAAGAATAAAGCTGTTTGGTTTTTACTGTGACAAACCAGTCTTAAATATAATCCAAAATTCAAATTTTTTGACACAGTCAAAACAGTTAAAAGAATCGCAATAATAAAATTTCATTCAAATTGGAAATAATTTTTTTTTTGAAATAGTGAGACAAACTAGTTTTAAATATGTTCTAAAAGTTGTTCAAAAAAAGTTTGTTAGCTGCTCTATTGTTACTTTAAAAAAATTTTTGTCTTCAATTTTTAAAAACTGATTTAAATTAACGTTTTCTATCAGAATAAATCAAAAATGTTAAACACAGAAATTCTAGTTGATAAATAACTTGAACTCGTAACTACTTGTATAATAAATAAATAACAAATAGAAAAATGAACTTTTAATAATCCACAAGATCTATTAAACCACCATATTACTTGTTTTGGAGAAACAAATCGACATTTGAATAAAAATGAGATTGATGAATAAAAGTTCTTATTTTTTTAATATTTATCATAACTAATTATAAAAAACAAAAATTTGTTTTTTCTTTATTAATTTTTTTGAAAAACCAATTTTAATTTATGAATTTATTTTTTTTTATTTTATTTATATTCTCAATAATTCATTAAATTTCAAAGGTCAAAACTGATTTGCAACAAAGCGGACCATTGGCCCAAGTACATATCCTTCTTTTTGCACTCAACATTCTCGGAGTAATCTTTTGC